AAAACAAAAAAAAAAAAGAAACACACACATAATTCTTGTCCTCCAACTAAGATGTAGGCTCGAATTCAATCAGTACATAGGATAAAAAACACATAAAAAGACATAAATGTATTAAGCAAATTATTAACAAGTAAAAGCTAATAATTAATGTAAGTCGTAAATACGCAAAAAAGAACAAATGGTATAGACTAATTACAGAAAGCTTTCTGCAGAAAGGAGTTTTAAAAACTGGGCTTTCAAGGCCAGTGACAGAATCCCAAGTGACAGAGAAGTGGTTGAAGCCTAGAACAGGATTCTGAATCAAAGCTCTTTACCTTCCAAGCGTTGGGGGCAGGTTCCCTGTTCACAAGGCTCCAACCCCCTGATGCCTCCACTCAGAGCCCCTGAAGAGATTCTCCCAGTAACCCATCTTGTTGGCTATTCTCCAACTGAGTCTTCCTTCCCAGTAACAAGCTCCATCGCCCAGGGGATGAATGTGATGTCACAATCAGGAGAACTCTAGTAATGGGAACAAGGAAGAGAAAGAAGAGTCAGTAGAACTGCCTTCAAGTGGCAGGAAGACTGGAAAGACAAATCTGGCAGTTGGCTGGGGAAGATGAGATAATTCCATTAAGCACTACACTTTTTCAGTGCTAGGCAAGACTACCTTCTAAGGAGGGAGCTCACTGGCCAAGGAAGAACACACATAGGGTCCAGTAGATCTGAACATAGCCGGGAGGGGGAAAGAAAAGGACAAGAGGAAAAGTGGAGAAGAGGAATTGTTGGAGATTTAAGATTCCTTTATTCAGTGCACATAACTACAAGTAATAATGATTCCAAATCTGTGGCTACAAAATGCATCGATCCATAATACCTTAAGTGTACAGTACAATGCTTTAATGCAGGGGTCCCCAACCCCCCAGGTGGACTAGTACCAGAGTGTGGCCTGTTAGGAACCGGGTCATACAGCAGGAGGTAGTCGGGAAACGGGCAAGCATTAAGGCCTAAGCTCTACCTCCTGTCATATCAGCAGTGGCATTTGATTCTCACAGGAGCACAAACCTTTTCGTGAACTGCCATGCGAAGGATCTAGGTTGCACGCTCCCTATGAGAATCTAATGCCTGATGATCTGAGGTGGAACAGTTTCATCCCGAAACCATCCTGTTGCCCACCATCTGTGGAAAAACTGTCTTCCAAAAAAGGTTGGGGATTGTTGCTTTAATATTAATTTCCAGAAAAAAAAAAAAGAATAAGAAAAAAAATCTGAGTTTCCAAAGTACTTCCACATAATTATTATTTTTTTCTTTTTTTGAGACGGAGTCTTGCTCCCTCACCTAGGCTGGGGTACAGTGGCGTGATCTTGGCTCGCTGCAGCCTGTGCCTCCTGGGTTCAAGTGATTCTCCTACCTCAGCCTCCTGAGTAGCTGCAATTACAGGCAACTGCAACCATACCCGGCTAATTTTTTTTTTTTTTTTTTGAGA